CCCACCCACCCATCTACCCATCCATCCATCCATCCACCCACCCATCTACACATCCACTCATCCACCCACACATCCACTCATCCACCCCTACATTCATCCACCAACCCATCCATCCACCCACCCACCCATCTACCCATCCATCCATCCATCCATCCACTCATTTATCCATGCATTATCCATTTATCATCATCTGTCTGTGACAAGAGTTAGTATGAGATCAACTAATGGAAAAGGTGGGGCTAGGTTTAAAGATTTTTCTACTACAGCAGTTCCCCAAGTTTGATTCCTGAAGGACTTCATCAAGAACTTAAAAAATGTCCATTCTCAGACCCTACCCCAGACTTACTGAATCAGAAACTCTGAGGGCGGGCCCAGCAGCCTGTGCTTTAACAAGCCCCCCAGGTGATGCAGATACATGCTCTAGTTGGAGGACCACTGTTCTGTTTCATCAAATGCGTAAATCAACTAGATCCATAGCACTGCTCCCTCGAATGTCTTCTACCTTTTCACCAATTACTAAAATTCCAAAGAGAAAACAAAAACAGATGAAAACGAGCCCTATCACATAGAAGGGGGGCCAAGGGCAAGTTGCCACTGGAAAGCGCCCCGGCCTTGTTACTAAAGATCAGGTTTAGAAGAGTATATAAAATGTCAGTTCTCAAGGTCAAAGGCTGCAGATTCACAGAACATATGGACAGCACACATTATCCTCCTTTACATGCAGATTAGCCTAGATAACAAAGGTTCTAGGTGACAGAAGACATGCATAAATCTGAAATTAAAACACAGCAGCAGCATGTCCTGGACAGCAGCAAAGATAAAATGCCTGTGGGCTTGGAGTGAATCTACAGAGGGTGAGGCTCTGTGCAGCTGAATGAGGCAGCTGCTCTAAGGCCAGCCGCTGTACGCAATCCCTCAGCTGTGACCTAGCGCCACCACTGCCCTGAGGACCTACGCCAGCTGCCACATCAGTGTCCTGTTGCCATCAGCTCTTACCTGGCACGGACCCTGGCATGACGCCAGAAGCAGCAGCTCCATGACCTCGAGCTGAAAGGTGTTTGGCTGCAGGTGGGGAACTCTCCTGAGGAAGTGCTTGGAATTTAAACCCGAGGTGGGGATCAGGTTTACCTTGACCTTCACCCCTACCAGAGAATGTGCACCACACACCCCTACACTCTGTGGTAGCATCATGTCAATATCGCACCACAAACCCCCCTCATGATGGTTTTACAGCCTCTCAATCTAATAACTTGCCTCCACTGAGTGGTACCTTACACACAGCGTGAGCAGAAAGTGGGTTTGTGCTGAAGGAAGAGGCCAGTGTTAATGGGTGGTAAGTGGAGTGTTATGCAGGGTCACCTCCCCTAACTAAACACTGCAGGGTGCTCATAACCGAAGATATCCCGTAAGCTGGATTTGAAAGTCCTGGTGAAGCATGCAATTATCAGTAATGCAGATGTGTGGGAGGACGCACATCTTACTGCCTGTTCCGGATGAGACGGCCCACACCGAGAGCCTGGCTCGCAGGACATTCAGTGAGCGGCCAGTGTCACTGCTGCTCTTCTGAAACAGCCTTTTTACAATTAAAAATGCGCACGTGTCTCTCGGAGCTCATGAAGAAACCCCAATCCCTAAAAATCTGGGGAATGACATCACCCTCTGGAGCGGTTCCCACTCTGTGATTCTGACATCGAGCCGCACGCAGAGGCACGCAGGGCAAGGAGGTGCTTTCTCCTCCAACCCCGCAGCCGATCGGAAGCCTCCTTGTGAACCTGGCATCCACACAGCCCTTCACTGTACTCAAACCCTGCAAACCCTGCACGGAAAAGCTCCACTCAAGCTTCAGAAAAAGAGAGCTGATAGTCTAAGAATCAGAGAGCAGACGGCATGAAAATGGTTTTGTTTGCTTTCGACCCATATACAATAAGCCTAGCAGCTTTGATCACAAAACCTCCATTAAAAACATCTTGATTAGACCAACCCATACGATGGTGCTTATGCTGATTTAATCACTGGTTCGCTCTCAAAATCCATCGGGGTGGGTAGAGAAAGACAGAGAACCACACCCAAACCAAGCAACCGACATTTTAATCTCCCAGGCAAGTACTAGTTAGACAACTAGTAATGACATATATGACATAACATATGGCAACATCAGGCAAAACACTTGGCAACTTACTTTTAATGATATATCATTATTTCCTCTTCATTTCAAGGAAAACTAGTTAAGGATGCCTCTCCCTTCTGCATAACACAGCCTGAGAACTCAGATGCCACCGCCTGAAAGCCAGGGCCAGATGCAAGCTGTCAGCCCAGTCTCTGCTTACACCTAAAATAATCGATCTGAACTGCTCTTCAAAGCTTATTTGAAATAATATTTCGATTAATACTGAAAATGAACGTCCAGTCCACTCTTTACCCATACCGTCTCACACATTTGTCTGAGGTTTAAATTGCATTTAATGAAGAAAAGAACCACCTGAATAGTCCAGGTTTTTTCCTCCTCAAAATGAGCTTCCAGGTAGCTTCACCATCCCCACCCCTGGCTCTGAAACCCCAAGCTCTGAAAGCCCTTGGCTCAGATCATTCTCAATTCGCAAGCACTATGTGCATTCTCCATTGCGAGGGCTGCGGACGGGCAGGTTGATAGGCAGATTTCAGACACACAAATGGCTCCGCATGCAGACCCAGCATCCCTGAGAGAGCCCGTGACACCAACGTGCCGTCATTTTAACTATTCGGAGCAGCACGCGATCGCCGACAGCCTCTGAAAACACACCAGCTACCAACCAGTGCCCCCCATGTCTCAGCTACCACCGCTAGAAAGGAACACGAGGGCGGCTTACAAAAATCAGACGCATTTCCCCACAATTCAGCCCATGATGTCAAGCTTAAGCACAGATCACTGACGGCCAGCAGCTCCTCCTACCCGTGTGCTTGGAAACCGCATTTAATCTCTGCACCATTTCTTCCAGGGCCATCTCTTCAGTCCTCAGCCAAAACCTCATCCTCCGACACAACAGAAATGATGCTGGCAGATCCGCTTCCTCCGCACCGGGGGCGCCTGCGGGTGGGGCCGTACGAGTGGGGAGGGGGCGCGGCGGAGGCGGGGAGGGGGCCACGGCAGCGCTTTCAGCCTGGAGCCGCCGCCTCCCTGCCCGGGATTGGTTCCGCGCCACCGGGAGGGGGGCGCGCGCTGCGCCGCGGGGGGCGGGGGGCGGCTCGGCGGAAGCGGAAGCGGCGCGCGCCCGCCCCGGCGTGTCACCACCGTGGGTCACCTGGGAGTCTTGTGAGTGCACCACCGAGGTCACCTGGCAGCCCCGCGGGTCACCGCGGAGGTCACCTGGCAGCTTCGCGGGTCACCGCCGCGGTCACCTGGGAGCCCCGCCGGTCACCGCTGAGGTCACCTGGGAGCCCCGCGGGTCACCGCCGCGGTCACCTGGGAGCCCTGTGAGTGTACCACACAGGTCACCTAGAAATTCGTGTCACCGCCGAGGTCTCCTGGGAGCCCCGCGGGTGCCGCACAAGTGCCCCCGCCCCTCCCCCCGGTTCCGGGTCTCCACACTCTCCCGGTTTGCGGGCAGCCGCGCGGAGCCGCGAGTGGACTGAGCGAGTGCAGCTGCCTCCGCGGGGCCGCGCCTGGCCGCCGCCTCCCTTTACCTCCGGCCGCCCCGCGGCAGGTGCAGAAGCTGCAGAGGCCGCAGCAGCCGAGCGCGCCCCCTCCGCGTGGCCGCATGCCATCCGCGCCGCGCCCAGGTAAGCAGGTCCGTGGGTCGCTGGGTCCATGCGTGGGTCCGTGGCTGGCCGGAGGTGGACCAGCCCCTTCCCGCAGGGGCATCGCCTGCCCAAGGTCGCAGGACCCGGTGCAGGAAGCGCGCGCTGCAGGCACGGGGCTCTCCACCCTCGCCATGGTTGGCACCAGGCCACAATGTGCACTTGACACCCGCAGCGTCCCAGCTGCCACCTGCAGATTCCAGCTTGTGTCTATGCAGGGCCATGACCGCCACCACAGGGCCATGTGCAAGAAACTCTCTGGCTCTCCTCACCCAAAACCGTGGCTATCCTTTTGTGGTTTGGTATTACCGGTAACGTGCCCTTCCTTAAAGAAACAGTATTTCAGGCCTATAGCCCCAGCTACTCCGGAGGCCGAGGCAGAAGCAGAGGCAGAGGCAGGAGGATCATTTGAGTTCAGAAGTTTGAGCCTGGGCAATGTAGCAAGACCACCCCCCCAACCCCACTCCCCAATCAGTTAAAAAAAAGAGAGAATTCCAGCAGGAAGAAGTACCCTTTTCCATGAATGGTTTGGGAATTCAAGCATCAAATGGCTGAGGTTTGAACTACAGCTCGTGCCAATAACATGTGCACATGCACCAGCAGTCCAGTGTCCAACAGAGCATGTGCGCACCATTCCAGCTTCCGGCAACAATGCACCGGTAGGCCAGTGTCCAACAGAGCATGCGCGCACCATTCCAGTATCCGGCAACAATGCACCCGCATTCCAGTGTCCAACAGAGCATGCGCGCACCATTCCAGCAACCGGCAACAATGCACCAGTAGTCCAGTGTCCAACAGAGCATGCGCGCACCATTCCAGCATCCGGCAACAATGCACCGGTAGTCCGGTGTCCAACAGAGCATGCGCGCACATTCTAGTATCCGGCAACAATGCACCGGTAGTCCAGTGTCCCACAGAGCATGCGCGCACCATTCCAGCATCCGGCAACAATGCACCGGTAGTCCGGTGTCCAACAGAGCATGCGCGCACATTCTAGTATCCGGCAACAATGCACCGGTAGTCCAGTGTCCCACAGAGCATGCGCACCATTCCAGCATCCGGCAACAATGCACCGGGAGTCCAGTGTCCAGCAGAGCATGCGCGCACCATTCCAGCATCCGGCAACAATGCACCGGTAGTCCAGTGTCCAACAGAGCATGCGTGCATCATTCCAGTATCCAGCAACATGTGTGTCCCCCAACATCCCGTTGTCCAGTGGCACATGTGCGCCTGGACGTTCCAGTGTGGTGACCTTTCAGGCACGGAGCAAGGCCAAAGGGATAAAAAAATGAAGGTGACACAGTACTTCCCCTTATAGCTCCCACAGGTCTGGATAGGCCAGACAGATCTGGAAATAAATAATTCATAATAAAAAATAATTACAGAATAAGTAGTACAACAACCACAGATAGAAGGTACTGAGTAAATCTGTAAGAAATGGCTGCTTTGCTTTTGTTTTTGCTTAACATGAGAAACGTATTGAGTATCAGCAGTTTCACTTGGTTCTATAGAATCTCTTTGGAGCCCAGTGAAAGGAGGACTCTGGAAAGGCCTCGGTGTGGATGGGAGCCTCTCCCTGTGTGGACAAGCATCCCCTGGGCTGCCCAGAGCTGAAGCAACCCCACTGTGCCTACCACTGCACAATTGCTACCTCCTGTCTATACATGGTCTCCAAAAAGTGCCCTCAAATGGGTCTGCTCCTAACTCATTCCCTGTCAGTTCAGGGAACCTTCACCACTCCCCGACCCCACCCCCCACCCCAACCCCACCCCTCCAGCTTCAGGGAAAGCCTGTCATCAGGCAGAAGGGTCCTGAAATGCAGGCCCTGCCCTTTCCACTAGTCTAAGGCAAAACACTCTCCCTGGTCCTCATCCCACACGGCCCCAGGCCACACTCCCTGAGCACTTGCCCTCTTCTCCCGGTGCCAGGCAGGTGCCCTCCAGCCTACCCAGCCTTGGGCTGTATCAGGATCTACCAAGGGCTTGTTAAGCTCACATGGCTGGGCTCTGATGGCTCCTTGCTGATCCAGGAGGTCTGGGGTGGGGCCTGAGGATGTGCATTTCTAGCAAAATTCCCTGGGATGTTGAATGTGTTGGTCCACATTTTGAGAACCACTGCTGAAATCTGTTGCATCTTAAAAGCAAGATGAAAGGAAAAGGCCGCACTCTCTGGCCCGTCCCACTTCTCTGATCTCCCTCGTCACCCCTTGGGCATTTCCACACATGCTCTTGGCTTCTTTCCTCAACCCTATGCCATCCACTCTGCCCCCTGGCCAGCATCCTCTAGCTGGCACCATGTCATGTTGGGGTACCAGGGTGGAGACCCTTGGTCTCTGTGGCCATTGACTTTATTACTGGCAACTTGGCTGGGCCACCATGCCCAGATATTGGGTCAAATGCTAGGTTAGATGTCTCTGTGAAGCTATGTTTAGATGAGATTGGCACTTATGTCAGTAGACTGAGTAAAGCGGGTGACATAATGTGGGTGGGCCTCACCCAATCCATCAAGGGCCTTGAGAGAAAAAGACAGAGGTTCCCCGAGGAAGAGGGAGCTCTGCCCCCAGACGGCCTGGACTGCAACCCAACTCTCCCCAGTCCCCGGCTGCCCCTGGCCTGCGGATTCTGGACCTTCCAACACCCACAATTTCAGGAGCTGATTTGTTAAACTAAGTCTCTCTTTCTCTGTAGCTCTGTGAAGTCTTTATTCTGCCTTAAATTATAGCACAAATGATGCCATCTTTCCATAAAAATCATTTAACTCTTGCCTAAAGAACGACTGTCACCGTTACACCTGGCATTAGGGAGCACTGGGCACTCCAGGCACCTGCCAGATGCTCCCCACACTGTAAACTATTGGTCTTCACAGAGAGCTGGGAAAAGGCACCGTTTTTAGCATGTTACAGAATATGCAGAGAGGTTCAGCGACTTGCCCCAGGCCACACAGAGCCACAAAGATGCAGACCTGTGGTGTCTGTAGTGTCGCAAGGGGAATGGCATCCACAAAGTTCCCAGCAGATAGACCCAGGACACTTAGGTAAGGTCCCAAGCCGTGTGTCCCAAGGGACGGCTTTCTTTCCATCCCTGGCTCAGCCTCTCTCCCAGGAACCAGAGGCGCTCCAGGAGGGAGGCTGAAGGTAACGCGACACCTGGATACCAAACATCCTCATAGCGACCAACCTTTCTGGAAGATCAGCCACAAAGCGGAGGTGAGAACTGGGAGCTGGAGCAGGCAGGGCCAGGCTCCCAGTGCCAACCCCAAGACTAGGGGAGCAGGGCTATGGAGGGGCAGAGCGGCCTCGGCCACAGAAGGGAAGGCACAGGTGTTTTCTGCACAGCCTCACTCCACGGCTTGGGAAGGGAATCAGAGAGGGTGGAGACTGGAAAAGGACTGTGAGGAAATTCACAAGCTCATCGTAACTGGTAGAGCCTGGCGGGATAACACCCAGCATGTCAGGGATGCACTGAAGCCGTGGCCCCAGAAATCTGGAAACGAGCCCTCGATTCCGGACAACCAGGGCTGGCTCTGAGGTGCAGCACTGAGCAAGGCTGGTGGCTCCTGCCCGCCCAGAGCTCACGCTGCAGCAGAGGTGACATGGCACCTGGGTATGTGATGGCCTCCATGCGGTGATGGGAGGGCACCTGCTGGCACCTCCCCCTCAGGGGCCAGTGTGACGTGTGAACAGGGCCCTGTGTCCCAGCAGTGAGCAGGTCCTGGTCCACACACGGACGACTGAAGGACTGCACTTCTGAAGTGGGGGACAGGGAGGGGAGGGGCGGGAGAGGAAGGAAGAGGAGGAGCTGCTGGACTTCTGACTTTTTTGTACCTTTGCAGGGCAAGGAAGTCTGGAATTCACATTAATATAAACTATAATGCAGAATCAGTTGATAAGGACAGTTAGTGAGGAGATGGTCTTTTGGGGATAAAATCTGGCAGGATTGCTGACCTGGACTCCATCATCTAACGTTCTCACACACAAATGACCATTACGTTTTGATGCATAAAACAAGTAACTTAATATGTATTTTTGTCTGACTACAAAATCATTGCATTCACTTTGGAAAATACAGAAAATAAAAATAAAATACACTTCAACAGCATCACCTAGAGATCTTTTTATCCTTCTGATGCCTTTTTATACAAAATTATAACAGCAATGTATATTCTTTGTAACAAATTTTTCACTCAAACGTTTTTTCATGATGCTACTCGTCTGCATGATTTTAAGTAGCTGGGTGAATATTTCCTGGGATGTGTGTTTCAAATTTTAATCAGGTTTTCTAGTGATTCTTGGCTGTCATAAACACTGGCAAAGAAACACACAAGCAAATCCTTATCTCACATCTGATTGTTTCTCTGGGTTAATTTCCTACAAGTAGAGGTACAGGCCAAAGGGTATGGCTATTTTAAAGTTTCTGAAATCCGTGCATGACTTTTATATGTGCACGTTATGGTAACATGCATCCACGCGAGCAGATACAGGGCGCTGTGGGATTCTGCACCTTGTTCCTTGGCAGGGGGTCCCTGTCACAGGGAGCATCATGATGGGCTCACGCCATCCTGGGGGCAGCCCGGGTACTGCTCGGATGGGTTTGTTTGGTGAAAAAACAAAAGGCAAACTCACTTTAACTAGAGACCATTTGCCTGCATGGTGGGGAGAGCTGCTCCTGAGGCAAGAACCACAACTCAAAGCTTGACATCAACGTGGGCAACTGTAGAACCCAAGGCACCGGGGCTGCCTCAAGGGAATCTCAAGAGTCGCCACCGTGGGCAGGGGCCATCCGAGGTGGGCTATGCACTGCCCCAGCTGGGACCCCCTGCCCCCTGCAACCCTGCGCTGAGGTGCACTGCAAGTGGACGCCGTCTCCTCCCAGGCAGCCTGGTTAACCCAACCTCTCTCAGTTACATCGAATGTGCCAGATCCCCATCCACAACCCTTCCAGTGGGGGCTGCAGGCCAAGCCTCTGTGAGTCCCCTGTGTCCCTGGGGTGGAATCTCTGGGGCCTGGAGCAAGCGGGTGGTTGGTGTGGCTGTGCACACCAGCACCAGTGGAGGAGCCGCCCTGCCTCTGCCAGCTTCTGGGGAGCCAGCACCCTTGACTGTGGCCCGACCCAGCTGCGAGCCTGTCTCCCTGTATCTCTCCCCATCTTCCGTGGACACCAGTGGCTGGATTATGGTTCCTACTCCAGGGCGACTCCATCTGAGCTCATGCATCTGCAGAGGCAGCGGCCCCACCTCCACGAGGCAGCGGCCCCACCTCCACGAGGCCACACCCACAGACACTGGGGGTCAGAACTCAACACATCTTTTCAGGGACACAATTCTACCCACAATAGCAGGAAAGGGACCAAGATAGGCTACGGAGCAGCCACATGCACGACTGGCTGCAGACACGGGTGCAGGGACATGAGTGGCCCTGGGGACCCCCTGAGGGTCCTTGCTGACCGACCTGAGGATCCACCTGGTGCCTATCCCGGTCCCCACACAAGTCATTCCCTCCTAGCCATGCCCTGCTGTGGAGTCCTGAGCAGAAAGCTCTGAGGAGCTGTGGAGGCTCAGTGACCCTTGCCCCGCTCTGATGCCAGGCCCCAGAATCCTGGCCAGGAGGAGCATGCTCAGACCCTGTTGGACGAGGAGCAGGAATCCGCCGCATAGAAAAAGAATTCCTTCAAAAGCAACTTTAGATTCCACGAGACGTGCCTGGGCCCCAGGTTGGCAGGAGGACGTGAAAAGACAGCGGCATTCCCTGCTGAGAGTGGCAGAGGTAGGTGGGAGCTACGGGCCCTTTCAGAGGGGATGTCTGTGCCCAGGGCAGAGCTGAGTCAGGCATGAGAGAAGGCTGCCATGACAGATCTGGCACCAGCCTGAAATATTCCAGAACGTCTTCATCCACCTCCCAGAGCTCCAGGGCCAGACAGGTTCTCACTCACAGGCCCCACCCCTTCAAACATCTTTTAGCTGCTCAGAGAGGCGAAGCACACCCCCATCGGGACAGGCCAGATGCTTGGTGAGAAGTGGGTACCAATGGGATTCTTCTTGGAAGAGCCAAAAATGAAGGCAAAGATGCCTAGATTCTGGGTTCAGCAAACTACTGTGTGTTGAAGGTATCGGCTCCCTGGGGGGTTCCCCTACCTGTACCCTGGAGAAAGAGGCAGAGCCTGTGCACAGAGTGGGCTCCTCTCCATACCCTCTCTGGTGGGGGTTGGGGCCTGGCCTCCCAGAGCCTGGGGGGGTCTGGGAGAACAACTCAAGGCACTGGGGCCTTCACTGGGGCCTTCAGGGTTTTGCTCCAGAGTCTGGGTGGGGGTTGGGGCCTTGCCTCCAGAGCCTGAGGGGATCTTGGGAGAACAACTCGGCAGCTTGGGGCCTCTCACTGGGGCCTTCAGGGGTTTTGCTCCAGAGTTACGGCTATGCTTTGCCCCAGCAGCCCCGAGCTGAAGGAGAGGGAGTGCCTGAATTGCTGTGGTCGGGCGCAAGAAGGGTCTGTCCGTGCTGTCAGGTGTGAAGGCTGCACTGGCCACAGACCAGGCCTGGGCACCAGGGATGTGGCCACCAACTGGGTCAGCTAGAGGTGAGGCCCACCCTCATGGCCGGCTCCTCACAGCACAGCAGGCCTGGCCGACACCACACGGGGACCGCAACCCACCCGCACATGCAGGCCTCCGAGGAGACAGCACTGCCTCACTAGACGGTAAGTCCACATGTGTGTTTGTATGTGTGTGTGCATGTGTGTGAGCATGTCCGTGTGTACATGTGTGTATGTGCATAGGCCTGTGTGTGTGCATGCATGTGTGTGAGTATCCGTGCCTACACATGTGAGCATGTCTACATGCAAGTGTGTGTGCATGTGTGAGCGTGACTGTGCATGCGTGTGTACGTGTGTGAGCATGTTTGTATGTGCGTGTGTGTGCATCTGTGCATGCACGGGTGTGAGCATGTCTGCATGAAAGTGTGTGCATGTGTGTGCATGTCTGTGCATGTGCGTGTGCATGCCTGGATGTGAGCCCATGTGTGAGCGTGTTTGTGTGTGCATGTGTGTGTGCATGTACCCTCGCTGTGCAACAGAGAAGCTGGCACAGGGCAGAAACTGGAGGAGGTAGGTGAGTGAGGAGCACAGCGGGAGGGCAAGGGTGAGGGTGAATGAGTGGCCTCTCACGGTCACAGCAAGGCAGGAGGCCCCTCTGATTCTGTACCCCAGCAGGCCATCCATCAGTGGCCTCTCCTGGGCTGGGGCAAGGACTCAGTGTCACAGGAAGCACCTTCTGGAAAGACCTGAACTAGAAGGACAGAGGGGCTCACTGAGGGTGACCACAGCTCCCAGGAAGTAACAGTGGGGATGCCCTTAACAGCCCAGCTGTATGTGTGACCACGGATATGGAAAGGAGGGCCGCAGGTCCTGGCCAGGCCATGGCAGGAAGGGCCTCAGGGGGGCGGGCGCTGGCCTGGGCCTTGGACCCCACACCAAGCCCCCAGCAGCAGAAAGGGAATTGCAGGCCCAGTCCCACCAGGCCCGACCATGTTCCCTGAGGAGGAATCAGAGCTCCTCAGATTTTAGAGGAAGACTTGAGGCCCTGTCCCCCACCCATGCTGCACGATTGCCCAGGCGACTGGGGAACCAGGCATCTCCTCGCAGGGCCAACTGAGCCCCGAGGCAGAAGACTGCTCATGGGAAGGCAAATGCTTGTCCAAGTACAAAGCAGTGAATACCTGCAAAGATCACTCGACGCTTTCAAATTAGCGCCTAGGTGTATTTTATTATAATTACAATAAAATAATAGCAGAGTCACTTCATCACGTTTTTATTATTTTAAGCCGTGGTTTACGCAGAAGGCTCAGCAGCCTGCACCTTCAGAAGTCTTCAGGGCTCTGCCGTGTGCTCACGTGGACACACCTGGAGAACAGGTGCAACGTGGAGGCATAGCAGACTCCCCTTGGTAGGAATGCATGGGAAGAGGGAGGGGCAGGGAGGACCCCAACATCCCCAGAAGTGTGTGCTTCGATGCCTGGTCGCTGCAGCCCAACACTGGAGGCCCCTTGGGGTCCCTACCTGAGCTGCGGCACAGTCTGCAGTCATTCACAGTGCAACCCAAGCCCCCACGCACCACAGAGAGCCACTGGGGTTGGCCGAGTTATGGCCCCCAAGATGCTCACGACCTGATCCTTGGTGCCTGTGAATGTCACCTTATGTGGCAAAAGGACCTTGCAGGTAGGATTAAGTCAGTGACCTTGACCTGGGGAGGTCATCCTGGACTATCCAGGAGATCCAGGGTCATCCCAGGGTCCTTCCAGCAGGGCAGCGGGAGGCTCAGGCAGGGAGGAGATGTGAGGATGGATGCAGGGGTCTGGGTGGTGCGGCCATGAGCCCAGGAATGCAGGCAGCACCTGGGCCTGGAGAGGGCAAGGGAAGGATTCTCCCTGGAGCCTCCGGAAGGCACTGGCCCTGCTCACACCTTGGTGTTAGAACTTCTGGCCTCCAGAGCTATAGACCATGAATGTGTGTGGTTAGCCACTGTTTGCGGCGATCTGTCAATTGCAATAGGAAACTGACACAGTCCTGGACACCGAAACCCCAAAGCCTCCCTTCCCCAGAATGACGGCCTATGCCGCCGCCTGGGAGAGAAACCCCAGCATCCATCACACCCACGTTTCAATGAAACAACCAAAATGAGCAGGGGACAAGGCAGTCTGCTGGGGTTTAATGTGTCCCGCAAAGGTCACGTGTGGGAAACCTCACCCCCAACACCGCCATGTTGGGACGTGGGGCCTAAGAAGAGGTGACCAGGTCTGAGGACCCTGCCCTCGTGACTGGACAAGTGCTGTTTTAGTTCTGAGAGCAAGCTGGGTCCCCTCTCGGGCTCTCTGCTCTCTTGCCCTCTCTGCTGTCTCGCCAGGTGTTGCTGTCGCTTGGGAAGACACAGCTCAGGGGCCCTCACCAGATGCAGCTCCTCAATCTTGGGCTTCCAAGCCTCTAGGACCATGAGCCAAATAAACTTCCATTGTGTGTAAACTACCCAATCCGTGATACTCTGTGACAGCAGCAGAAAACAGACTAAGACACAGTCCCTGAGGGCAGGCGTCCGGGACAGAAGGCTTCTGCCCTGAAGTTACTGAGGGACCTCGGTGACGCAGACACCTGGGCCACAGCCCGACGCATGAGGACAGAGGGCCTTCTCCACACCTGCAGGAGGGGCTGCTGCCGTCACAGACAGAACAAGCTTCTGTGTGTCTACTGCGCATCTCCCACGATGGAGACATGCACGAGCATTCAGAAAGCCTTGTGAGCCTGTGTGCACTCCACATATTCTAAACTCGGTTTCCAGCACCTGCGCGTTGCTGCTGTGGACACACCACGCCAGGCCACCGTGCAGCTTGGTTGCCGTGGGCGTGTGCTGCTTGTGCTTGCACGTTGGGCTTGCTACCAATAATTCGCTTTTGGGTTCGGACTTCCCCTGCTTGCCAACAGATCCTCCCTCTGTCGATGCCGGGGGGATGAGAGCTGTTCCCTCTAATAGGGAGAAAAGTCTAACGTAGAGCTGAAACCCATGGAAAACGCAGAGAAATACCTTTGAACAAGCTCAGACCTAACAGCCGTGGACCAGTATCCTCTCTGGGTCCTATTGTTCTGTTGAGCTGCCGGCAGTTTTCCCCCTCCAAGGATGACCCACCTCCCCTCACTGGAGAACAAAGCAACACTATGCTCTCAGAGAAGGAACAGCTTCCCAGGAAGAGAAAACCCCTAATACCGAGGCGTCGTCCAGAGAGTAAGGGAAGAACACACCTTGTTTCTGAAAACAAGAGGACCACCTGAAGTCAACACATGTCCGACCGAATTCTTCGGATTGAGAGCTCCGAGATGGCAAGGATGTATAAGTAATAAGTATAACTGACACGGCACACGCTGGCGCCGGAGAGTGGAGAGACTCGGAGGACCAGGGGTTACCGAGGTGATCCCAGCACAATTCATTAAAATCTTCTAAAAGAAAACCTAGAGGAAAAAAGCATAAGGGTATGTCTTGAACAAGCAGAATTGGGTTAAAAACA